TACTTATACATTTTCTGAAATGTAACTCCTTTTGTGAAATGATTTTTTTCATAAAATTTACACATTTTATTGGAACTTACACCTTTTGTGAAAACGAAACTTACACCTTTTGTAAAGCTACTTACATCTTTTGTGAAATAACTTACATAATTTTTCAAAAGTTACACCTTTTGTGAAATAATTTCTTTCATAAAATTTACACATTTTCGTGAAAATACTTACACCATTTCTGAAAAGTTATTCCTTTTGTGAAATAATTTTTTTATAAAATTTACACATTTTATTGGAACTTACACCATTTGTGAAAACGAAACTTACACCTTTTGTGAAGTTACTTACATCTTTTATGAAATAACTTACACTAATTCTGAAAAGTTACGCTTTTTGTGAAATAATTTCTTTAATGAAATTTACATTTTTTGCTAAAACTTATACATTTTTTGAAAATTTACACCTTTTCATTGAAGTACTTACACATTTTAATGTGTAACTTTTCAGAACTAATGTAAGTTATTTCTCAAAAGATGTAAGTGACTTCACAAAAAGTGTAAATTTCGTTTTCACGAAAGGTGTAAGATTCAATAAAATGTGTAAATTTTATGAAAAAAATTATTTCACAAAAGGAGTAACATTTCAAAAAAATGTAAGTATTTTCACGAAAAGATGTAAATTTTTAGAAAATGTGTAAGTTTTAGCAAAATGTGTAAATTTTATAAAAGAAATTATTTCACAAAAGGTATAACTTTTCAGAAATAATGCAAGTTATTTCACAAAGGATGACTTCACAAAAGGTGTAAGTTCTAATAAAAAGTGTAAATTTTATAAAAAAAATTATTTCACCAAATGAGTAACATTTCAAAAAAGGTGTAAGTATTTTCACGAAAAGGTATAAGTTTTCAGAAAAGGTATAAATTTTAGCAAAATGTGTAACTTTTCAGAAATAGTGTAAGTTATTTCACAAAAAGTGTAAATTTCGTTTTCACGAAAGGTGTAAGTTCCAATAAAATGTGTAAATTTTATGAAAAAAATTATTTCATAAAATGAGTAATATTTCAAAAAATGTGTAAGTATTTTCACGAAAATGTGTAAGTTTTCAAAAAAATGAGTAAGTTTTAGCAAAATGTATAAATTTTATGAAAGAAATTATTTCACAATATGTATAACTTTTTAGAAATAGTATAAGTTTTTTCACAAAAGATGCAAGTAACTTCACAAAAGGTATAAATTTTGTTTTCACAAAAGGTGTAAGTTCCAAGAAAATGTGTAAATTTTATGAAAAAAATTATTTCACAAAAGGAGTAACTTTTCAGAAAAGATGTAAGTATTTTCATGAAAATGTGTAAGTTTTCAGAAAAAGTATAAGTTTTAACAAAAGGTGTAAATTTTATGAAAGAAATTTTTTCACATATGGTGCAATTTTTCAGAAAATGTGTAACTTGTTTTACAAAAGATGTAAGTATTATATGTAAGTTATCAAAAGTTACACCTTTGGTAAGTAATTTCACAAAAGGAGTAAGTGTTCACAAAAGGTGTAAGTAATTTCTCAAAAAGTGTAAGTTCTCAGAAAAGGTGTAAGTAATTTTACAAAAAAGGATAAATTCTCAGAAAAGGTGTCACTACTACAAAAATAGTTAAAGATCACACTTTGACAAAAAAAAAAAGATCTCACTTTTATTGGAAGTGTGATAAAAAAAATTAGATTGATATTTTAATCACACTTAATTTGATTGAGTGTGATAATATTTATTTTTTATGTCACTTTTCAATTAAGTGTGATTATATATATATATTTTTAATCACACCTTCTAATTAAAGTGTGATTATATATACACTACTACTTTTTAATCACACTTTTTAAACAAGTGTGATTATATATATATTTTTTAATCACACATTTTAATTAAAGTGTGATTATATATACATTACTACTTTTTAATCACACTTTTTAAACAAGTGTGATTATATATATATATTTTAATCACACATTTTAATTAAAGTATGATTATATATACA